TCATAGCACAAACAAAACAAGGGCATCCAGACAGATGGAGAACCATTACAGACAGTGAATTTTGAGTACTCACAGGATGGGAAACAAGGACATTTGCATTCATTTGGGCTCTTATTTCAATCACTATTATGTAAATTATATGTAGTTATACATTTATTTTTATTGAGATAGGGAAAATTTATACCATCACCTCCTTACTCCTGTTGAATGGTATGCTATTCTATGGATAATTTCCCTGGAATCAATGGGGCTACTTGTGTATTTAGGGTACTACTCAAACTGAATAAAGGTAGCAGGCATGGCCCTCAGTAAACTTGAGAGTCAGAAAGAATAGCTAACTATGATTTCTATCAGGTCTCTTCTTTGAAACAAGCACATTTAAGTCAAAGAGAAACCTTACTCAATAATCTTTTGTTAAGGACCTAGTAAAGGATGTCAACTCCTATGGCATTCCAAATGCAGAAGTGCCAAAGTAAATGGCTTGTATTGTTTTCATGATCATAATGTAAATGGGTGATAACACATCAATTTAAAAAGTGTTTCTATTCTTTGTAAAGCACTCTGAAAACAATTAGTATAAATCATCTCTGCTACAATTACATTGATATAAATTGCATTAAAGCCTGGATGAATTTCACCTAATAAACATTACAGACGCATTGAGGAATTATTGTTGTTAATTAAATAAGGCACAAAAACAGAACAGTAAAAATCTTTCATGCTGTTAAAACAGCTTGGAGGATTCTAGGGCAATAAAAAAACACACCTGGTAGTAAACAGATTACAGTTTCATTTTATGTTTTAAAGGCTTGTAATTTCACAGTGAGCATAGAGTACTGAAAAATTGAGTAATTTTAAAATGAATAATAACTTTTAGGCAGCACCTATTTAAATGAAGTCTTGAAACCAAATAGAAATTACATAAGCTTACATCAAAAAATAATCTGCTGTTCCTGCATATTCAGACATGCTTGTCAATTTGCATCTTGGAACACCAGTTTTAAGATGGCATTTTGAATTGACCCAAATAAGCTGCAAGAAAATAGCCTAAATGATCACCAACTATAAATAAAGATGGATAGAATTTTTGCTACATAAATGATTACTTTAAAGGGGGGAAAAAGTCCCTACGATTAGCTATTTATTTCTAGCTAGGCTTCCACTACAGAAGTTGACATTATTGAAATAACAGTCTACTTTAAGAGCTGTATACTTCTCCCACCTTATAAGGATTGCAGTATATTGGATTTACAGTTATTGACTTATTTATTCCCAGTTTTCTCATCTCTCTCTCAGCATCCAGTTATAAATATTTAATGGAAAGTCTTAAGAGAGCAGTACTTCAGGATAGCTCTCTATTCTTCTCTTTTACTTTTTACATCTTCACCAAAACCATATCCTCTGCACACAAACTGTTCAATAATCAAAATAAATTCCTATCAATATCATGACATTAAAATATTAGTGGACAGCTTCAATTCAAGAAGCATACATTAGTTTATGTCAGCCCTGAAGCTGAGCAGATAATTTGGCTTCTATGTCTATTCAGTCCGTCTGGGAAATTTGGCAAAGATTTCAGTACTGATTGGGGTAGTGAATTTTCTCATGTGGCTGCTTGGTGCTGCTATCAGTGATGGCAGGGGAGTGAGCAACAGAAGAAACTCCAGAGGCCTCTGTTTCTTTTACCATTGGATTAAACTTACTGTAACCTCCTGGATGGTAGAGACAAAATACTAAATAGAGCACTGTTTCAATCCAGTAAGACAATTAATTTGTTCCTGTGCAAAGAGGAAGAGAGAAAGACCATGTACATATGTCCAAATGATCTGGGAGAATTCTCCCAGTAGAAAAACTTGGTGGAGAGCCCTGTACTACTGATGTTTGAGCTTATCAGTAGTGAGCCTGCAGCGCTGACATTGGCCTGCGTGGAGGCCCTAGACTAGGGCAGGCCAGTGACAGGGGCCTGGGAGGGCAGGGGTTGTTGGGTCAGTGAAGGGAGGTTGGGAGATTTGCTGGATCAATGACAACAGCAATGGGGCTGCTGGGTCAGTGGGAGGAGATGGGGTTGGCTGTGACTGAAAAAGCTGGGAGTACTGTAGACTATACCCGCTAAGTGCTTTGGTGTTAGGCTTTTCCGGCCCAAAACACTCAGTGGGTGTGTTCTGCTCCTTGCTTGGCTGGGATAGACATGTCATCTCCCTGGACCCCGTGTGAGGGTAGGGAATGGGCAGAGAGCAGAGCTCGCAGGGATTCCAGATGACTGCTTTGTGGCTTCTCTTGGACAGATACTGTACATACGTTCAGTCTCCCGAGAGATGTTCTCCCAGAAGCCATTTCACTTTGGTTGCTCCCAAGTTATTTTTCTCCCAAAGCAGCCATTTTTGTTCAGGAAGAAAAATCACGAGTGACCATACACTTGTGATTTCTATGGGGAGAGAAGTGACTCTCCCAGGAGAAAGTGAACATCTGTAGGTAGGCAAAAGGCTACTTTTATTTCCCCCCAACTCTGTAAATGGGAGGATAATATCACCTGAACCTCCCCCCCGCCCGTAAGAATGTAACTTTGAATATGAACCTAAATAGTCAGTTCATGCAAATAAAGTTGTTTTGCCTGTGGAACCCAGTCTGTCCACAAATTCTGCAAGTGCATTAATGAAGGGTGTTTGAAACTCAGCCCAGAGCATTCAACGCCATATAAAGTACTATAATGAATAATCATGTTTAGTGTTTATGATTTGTTATTAGAATGGAAGTGGACTCTGGGATTTTTTTTCTGATTTGTCACAGCACTAAGAAAACTTCTGACCAAAGGGATGCACAGGATATGTGGTGATTTGCAACTCTTGAGTTCTTTTGTCCTATAATTTCTTAGCATGTGAATGTAATCTCTTGCAACATCCCTTGTGACTCCTTAGAAGAAAGAAGTAAAGCTTGCAGTATACAAAATCTCATGTCTCAGCACTCCTTTATTCCTCTATGTTCATTTTAATTTATACTGTAATGTTTAGTATGTGAGAATTGTATGTATTTACCAACAAAATCATTTTATGTATACAGTACTCCCCAATTAAGATTAAATCAAAATAATAATTGTTATAGAATTTGGCAAATAAGACACAAAACAGTGAAAATACTACTAAGACAAAGAAAGATGTATTACAAACAGACATCTAAAAAGATGTCATGTTTCTTACACACGGACATCTAAAAAGCAGGGCAAAGGGCCTGAAAACCAGAGCAGAAGTCACTCCTGAATAATTACGGAATCACTACAAGAATCGCTACTTAATAATTATGGAATTGCCTTAATCCAAGTGATGGACCACCTAACAGACAGCTAGTACAACAATGCAGCTGTCTCTGGGGAGGTGGCTTTGGGAGAAACTTGGACAAGTAGCCAGGTCAATTCCCAGAGTAGCATGCACTTGGAGAAGAAACCCTTAAGATTTGGACCCCTAAGATTAGCCACTTTTGTGAGAGGAGTCTTTGAATGGATTTTGTTGTGCATTTTTTAGTGTTCAGTCCTCACCCAACCCTGCCTATTTAAGGTCCAGCTTTAGCATGTGATATACACACACTTCTTTGTAGTGTTTTGACTTGGGCACACACACATGTGCAGATCTGTCCGAATACAATTTCTCTCCCCTCTTTATACTTTCTGCACCACTTCATCTAATGAAATGAGCTTTAGCTGAGGAAAGCTTGTGCTCTCTCTCTCTCTCTAGCTTATTTAATCTATAAAGGTGCATATCTACCCTACTTTCTGATTGACTTGAGACTAATAGGGCTAACTACCTCTTGCTTCTTGGGCTCCCAGGCTGTGGCAACTAGAACAAGAGATCAGCGTGAGTGTGCGCGTGAGGAATCCTCTGCCCGATAAACAGCAGAATCTTTTTTGAGGACAGCTTCAGAAACGTGCCACATAAGGGCACCTTCCACCCAGGAGACTTTCCTGTTTATTAGGATCATAGAAAAGTAAACCTAGAAGGGACCCCATGAAGTCAAGTAGTCCAGCCTCAAGCTCAAATGTCTAACCTGCTCTCGCAAAGTTGGTTTAATAAAAAATATCAGATTTACCCAAAGAACCTTTTCTTGCAAAGAAAGGAATTCTTTTGTCACTATTTAGTTGGTCTAATATCGCTTCTGACCCAAGGGCTTTGTGTAACCTGCTCTTGAAAATTTCCATGGATAGTGATTCTACTACCCAGAGCCGTCCCTAGGGGTGTGTGGGTCCTGGGGCATATCAGCCTGTGTGGGGCCAGGGGTGGCTAGTGGCAGGGGTGGGGATGAGCACCTGAAGCGTGGAGCCGTGTATGAAAGCCACAGCGGAGTTGGAGGCACATGGTGGCCATGGCGGAGCTGGCAGTGTGTGATGACCACGGCAGAGCTGGCGGCATGTGGCAGCCATGGCACTGTCTGCGGGGCCCCACAAAGCACGGGGCCTGGGGGCGGTTGCCCCGATTCGCTCCCCCACAGGGACGGCCCTGCTACCACCTCTCTAGGTTTGAATAATCGAAAAATGGAAAACATACAACTTTTTTTTTATGTCCATTGCATACAAACACCTTGTTGACAGAAGTCTGAGGGAAGTTTTGGGGTAAATCTAACATCTTTTATTAGCGCACCTCACATAGCTGGAAAAATTCTTCCCGAGTGACGCTTCCTCAGCCTGACGAAGGGTGTTTGCCCCCCGCAAAAGCTTGCTAAGAAGAATTTTTCCAGCTCTTCAGCTGGTCTAATAATATCTCACATCTCAGATATCACATCTAAGAACCTCGCCTACCCAGAGAGGTCTGCAGCCTTGCAAGGCTGGTGCTTTCGGTTCCCTCTGGGGACAATGACATGCGAACACAAGGGGGAAAGGGAGCGTGCCGGGGCAGGAGGAAGGGAGGGGAGGGGAGCTGAAAGTAGGCTCAGCCCGCCCCACCAGGCAGCCGGAGAGGCCGGGCACAGCAGGCGCCGGGAGGGACCCTGCGAGGGCGGAGACTCGGGGGCGGTGCTTGGGTTTGTTGGCGGAAGCAGTTGCGGGCTGGAGGGGAGCTGCCTGGGGTTGTGCGTGCGCCTGCTGAGGCCGGTAAGGAGCCGCGGTTGGGGCTGGGGCTTTGCTCCGCAACCGGCCGCCGCTCTCTGCCAGCTGTGCAGAGAAGGGAGACGGGGGCACCCAGCCCCCCGCATCCACATCTGGCAGCGAGGTGGTGCTTGTGCCCTCTCAGCATGGCATGGGGGCGCTGCTCTCTTCCTGGCGCGTCCACGTGCTGCCCCCCCTGCGTGGTGCTGGCCACACGGGAGCTCCCACTGTCTAATCCTTGCCAAACAACCCCCTAGTGCCTAGTTTGATCTCCCAGCAGAGGCTGGCCCTGCTCTTCGCTCACGCCCTCTTGTGTTTTATGGTTTTTTTCGGTTTTGTTTAAGTCTACAGATCTCTCTGTGTCCCGCGGATAGCACGATAGTACAAGGAGGCTGCCTGGGCATAGGGCAAACTCCAGGGCAGAGCTGGTCCAGCAGGTCAGTGCAATGCAGGCTGGGGCAGGCGATGAGAAGGGGGGAATCAGCCCCACAGCAGAGACTGCAGCTCCTTCCAGCGTTTGTTTCCACGTGCTTTGAGCAAAGGGAGCAGGAGCCTGGGCGCACAGGCACAGCAAGGGAAAGGGCATCTCTCTGTTGCCCCAGTCCCGCTGGGAGCAACCTCGCTCGCCTCAGTGGGACTAGTAACGCATGGAAAGTTAGGTGCAATACATGCTTTTGTTGGTAGGATTTGGCCTTAGGGTAGCAACCACTCATGACCTGCTTCGTAGGGCAAAACTAACCCTAAAACTGAAACCCAAACTAACACTTCATGTAGAAAACCAACCGGAAAGCACAGTGAGGGGAAAGCAGCTGGACAATGCTCCCTGGCAAAGTGCTGCATTGCTCTTTTCCTTCCTTTCTTTTCCAAAAAGGCCGTACGATGTCCAGTTGGCTGAGTGAGTGCTTTTCTACTTCTGGGTAATTTAGATAACAGAATCGAAAACAGTGGTCCATTTCCGTGTTCTTTTATGTGTACATCTGCTTCTCTTTGACTTCCCACTGTACCATGTACGTTGCTATTTCACTCTTTTATTGAGTCAGAAGCTTTTTGCAGAAGTCATTAATTCTAGTGCCTCAAACACCTGTGAATTAAATCTTGCAACACCCCAGCCTGGTGTAGGTGTAGATAATTTGTAGGTGAGAAAAGGGAGGTGCACACTTGCACAAGGTTTTACAAGTAGTTGGGATCCAGAACCCAGCTCACCTGTCAGGCTCATGGCCTAACCACACTTTCCTTCCTCAATTTATGTATTTGGTTATTGTGATCTGTGTTTTAGCATGATATGGTCAATGAGGAAGTTTGTTTAGGGACTTGCAGCAAGCCAGCTCATCCTGGGTTTTTGGGGGGTTGTTTTTTTTTAATCTTTTCTTAAATGGAGATGCAAATTTTGAAAATATTGTTCCTGAGCATTTTAAGTAGCATCCTGCTGTGATGTCAGTGCTGTGGGAGCCAAAGAGATGCTAAGTTCACATATAAAAAAATGCTATTTGGAAGAAATTTAGACATTTCAGTTTGAGGAGCTAGCTTGTTAGGGGAAAAGCAACACCTATTTTGTATTGCCTTGTATGACTCATCTGCTTCTGTGTTACAAGGTGTATGTTCTTATGGAGGCCGTAGATGCATAACAGGATTAGAATCCAATACCTATTCAGCAGACACTTTACCTGTGTATAGTGATTAGCTTGGTTCTGTTAAGTGATGGAGAAGCACAGTTTGAATCTATGTGAATAAATTAAAGAGGATGAAGCTGAGGCTGAGCTACTCCTTTTTATTTTTTTCAGGCTGAAATGTATGTTGTCTATATTTCTTCTGTGATCAAAATAGAGACAGTCTAAATTAATTGCCATTTTAAACATCACTTACTTTTATAATAGGTCTCCTGCTCTCATAATCTCTGGGATTCTTCTGAGTAGACTTTTCTTGCCCAGACTTGTTTGATTTGCAATTTGCATCATCTGTTTCCCTGAAATTAGGAGCTTCTGCTTGAGGATGTAGTTGTAGTTGCACAGTGCCTTCCTCTGAAATTGGGTATTGTCATGAAATCTGATATTAAACGTTTGTACGCTTGACCCAGGGCATGTGACTGACCTCAGGGAAATAAGTTAAATCAAAGTCTCCTGTTGGTTACAGATACGGCAGGAAAATCACGAGGGAAAGTTTATAAAAATTATTTACCTTTTTAATTTAAAATCTTTGTGACATTTTATTGAGGGCCAAAAAATGAAACTTCAAAAATTTTGACTAGCAAGGTTACACTTTTATTACAGATTCCGAGAAATCTTTTTCTTCTTTAGCACTTTCAAATTGAGTTTCCAATTTGGCAGGCCCAGTCTTTTATTTGTAATGAATTGTGTCTAGGTTTGCCTCTAATTCATTTTGTTCTTGACTTGGCAATGCTTGACTTGACGGTGAAGGGCTTCTTTAAAACTCATGCCCTATATCTGGTTTTTCACTGCAATGTGCTCTTTTTTTCCCCACCCTTTTCCCCCCTTAATTAAATATTTAGAATGAAACATCACAATATAGAGAAGACCAAAAGTGAACCACTTGAAGCTTATTGCCAGAGCTTAATTTTAACTCTTGTTAAGAACTTAATAGGCCTTATGCTTGTCATCTGCCAAAAGGAGACTTTCACGCTTAGAAAATAAGTGAGCTTTTATAAAAGTTTAGCTTGGACTGATTAAACATAATTCTGATGTTGATGTTGAAATGTTTTAAATTAAATGCTCAGCATTGTTTCTGCATGTGTAATATGATTTTGTGTTAAGTATAAGTGCATATACAGATTACATTTCAACATTGATCCATGTCAGTGGCCAGCTCTCTTCTGAACATTTGTAGTGTGTGCTAGGTAAGAGAATGGTTGATTCTGGTAGAGTATGAAACCTGTTGGAAATGCAGTGTCATGCACATCTTCAAAAACAAACACACACCTTGGCATATCCCTAATTAAACTGCAATCTGGGTTTAATGTCAGGCATAAGTTAGTAAAATATCTCTGTAGTGCTTGCATTTCAGTTGTTATTTCTAGCATGCACTACCTACTGAACTCATTGATAAACTTTCTATTGTTTTTTTTTTTTAATTTTCTCCATAGATATACTATGAATAAAATGAAGCCTTCTCTATCACACTGTTTGACCCTGGGTTATTTTTTAATGTTTTTCTATTGTGGGTGTACTTCAGCAAAATGCCTTGAACGGTAAGTTATCAGTTGGAAAAAAAATCTTTATTTCCTTACAGTTTTTTAAAACAGACCTGAGACTCTTGCAGCATAGTTAAACTATTTATCAGTGTGAGATTTCCTATGCTAGCTTGTGCTATTTTTGATGCATTCTCTTTCTCAGAAGCTTAGCTAGCATAATGATACTGCCTGAATAACTTGCTTTTTATGCTGCAGGAAAAATAGAGCTTTACACTTGTTAACATGATAGGATAAAAAAGTGAAGGTTAAGCCACAGTTGTTGCATTTAGTCATGGATTTGCTTTAAAGATAACTTTAACCCAGTATTTGGGATATTATGTAGACAATTCCTATAAACAATAAATGTAAACATTTCAGGAAGGTTCTTTGGGTGAATCTGATATCTTTTATTAGACCAACTTATATAGTTGGAAAAAACATTTCTTAACAAGCTGTTGGGTTTAAAAACCCTTCTTCATCAGGCTGAAGAAGCCTGTGCAGTTGGTGTGTGCTCTTTCGTTCTGTCCAGGAAGAGCATGCACAAACTGCACATACGATAGTAGAATTTCATCTTTAAAAGATGTGCTAATACTTTGGTTAGTCGGGGTCCTAGGTATGCTAGCTAAGAAAGTGTAAATTTGTTTGTACCCTTCAAAAGGAGAAGGCAGCAGCTGTTAGGCAGTAACAGTTCTGTACGGATGAGCCTGTAGTCATACTAGTGAGATAAATCACGGCAAGAAACACTGACTCATCCAAGGTCAGAGTTAGTCGGGTTGGTGCTCTTGTATCCTCTAGGTTCCTGCACACGTAACATTAATGCCTTACAGCTGTTCCATTCTCCTGAGCAGCAGTATTAGCTCTCCTTCCCCTCTGGAGCCACAAACGTCCTTTTGTCCACACCTTCAGTGGCAAGTGGTGGATTTGTTTTACTCAGGTGAAAGGTCATGGGGAAGGCACTGCCTGATCTAATATTATAAAAGCCTAAGTTTGTCTGTCTTTCACACTTTATTCATGCTCTGATTGGCTAACAAACAGCCAATCAGTGTGAAGAAGCATTCAAACAGGTGGCAGCCCACCACCACGATGGTGGGGACACGGGATGGAGCAGTGGGGTGCAACCCTGCTCCCCAGGGGCAGCGGCAATGGAGTGGACAGAACGGGCTAGCCTTGCCCCCCCACCCCTGCCCTGCTCCCTGCAGGTGGCGATGGAGTGAAGGGGGGGGCGCAAGGCCACTGGAGCTGGCCTTGCCCCCCACCCGCCCCCCAACCCCCCACTCCTTGGAGGTAATGGTGGTGGCGGCAGCACGGGGGGCAGAGGCATCAGGTTGGGATGTTGCAGGGTGCCAAGGCCCCTGGTGCTGGCCTGGGCCCGCTTCTCCCCGTTTCCATTGTCACCGCCTGCAGGGCCAACCGTGGCAGTGGGGAAGCAAGGAGTGGGCCTGTGCATGCTCCTGCCCTCCCCCTTGGGCGGCGGGAAATGGTGGCAGGGGGAGGGCCTGGGCCCGGCACTGGGGGGGAGGAGTGGGCCCACCATGGCGGGAGTGGGGGGCAAAAGCAGGCCCAGGCTGATACAGCGGTGGTGGGGGGGAAGGGAGGAGTGGGCCCAGGCCCGACGCGAAGGGGAGGACAACTGCGTCCGAGCCGGGGGAGAAGCGGGCCCACCACAGGGGTTGGGGGGAGCAGCAGGCCTGGCCCGACATGGCAGTGGCTAGGGAAGGGGAGGAGCGAGTCTTCTCCCCAACTTGGGCCCTGGCCTACTCTTCCCCCTCCCCCCTCTCCAAGGCCCGCTCCTCCCGTTCCCCCACCACCGCTGGGTTGGCCTGGGCCTGCTGTTCCCCCCGCTGTGGTGGGCCGCCTTCTCACCACACTTGGGCCCGGTTCCCCCGCACTGACCCTGGGCCCACTCCTCCCCTCCCCCCACCACTGCAGCGGGGAGCGGGCCTGGATCCTGAACAGCAAGAGGTAAAGGGGGAGTGGGCCTGGCTGGGGAGGGGGGCATGAGGCTCAGTCCCTGCCCACTCCCCTGCCCCGCCTCATTTTTGACGGGCATTTGGCTAGTATATGTATAATGCTGATATGTATTTGGGCTTGGGGAGAAGAGAACAGGACTTTTAAGATGCATGAGTGGTAGTTCAGAAGAGCACACCTCAACTGCTGAAACTTCCTTAGCCTGATGAAGGGTTTTTGAACCCGAAAGCTTGCTTAATAACTATTCTCCAACTGTTTGGGTTGGTCTAATAAAAGATATCAAATTCACGCAAGGAACTTTGTCTGCCTGAGTGGTAGTTAAGCATCTGTCACATGGAAAATGAATGGAATGCTTATATGCTTCTGTGGAATGCTTGTGTGTCTTCTGTGCTTTTTGAATATCTAGTTCTCAACTTCCCAGTAAATTCCCTTTTAGTTTGACCACGTAGCCCTAAGGTCTATGAAATCTATGAAAGTATACAACTTGGTTCTCATAGTAGCACTTCAATGCAGAAATTGAATTTCTGGCTGTCATTCCTTTATCAAGTGCAAAGTAGCACACTACAAGCTTTACAAGTACACATATCTGTGGAAAATAGCACTGGGTGGGTTCATGTTGATTAAGTTTGGGAATTGAAAGGGACGGTTGACAAGTCTGAGAGACCAGATGGTTAAATGTTTTAATTAATGATTTCAAATTCTAGTAATTGCACTGATGGGGAATACATGTGAGCAGTCTTAGGACCATGGTTAATCAAGTTTGCTTCTGTCTCTAAGGGAAGCATGCGAAGAAATAACCTTTGGTTGTGTAATGATGACTTTGGTAGTGAAACTTCTGCAATTTTAAGTCCAGAGAAAGAGTCTTTTGCTGCTCTTTTTATGCTTAGGACTTGCCTAGCACAAGGAACTGTCTCAAATGTTGCACAGGATCAGATAATTGAAGAACAAGTGTAATAGAAAAGCAGTTAGAAATCTGAGCAAGAGAAACGTTAATATTTTTATTGTGACTATGTCTGACTTGTTCCACAGATGTCTGAGTATGAAATAAAACAAAACATGAACATACATGTGTGCACACATGTGCTCCCTCCCCCAATCCCATGACTGTTTTAGCAGGTCAAATGTGGCTAACTAATACTGGAAAAAACAAAACCTAAAGATAGTTTCAGAATGGGTTAACTTCATCACACCTCACATCACAAACATACCTGCATGTGCTTGTTTTTCCTATGTTGAAGCAAAAATTAAACTTCTCAAGGAGTTAATTGCCTTAGCTGTTTTTCCATTCACTAACAAAGAATGCACAACAAATTAGCTGTTATGAATAGTAATTTATGCGGTCAATTCTGCGGTCACTCTGTTGGCTTGAGTGAACTGGATTTTGCAAGGATTGCACCTGCATTTTAATAAGTAACCTATTCATGACAGCTCTCTTTTCTTAATGCTTTTTGCTGCTATCATCTGAAGCTATCTAGTTGTCTTTCTCCCCTTGTTTTTTGTCTTTCCTTGTTTTCACCTAAATTGTAAGCCTTGAAGAGTTGTTTTCATTCTCTAAGTTCTGGGGTTGGTCATCAGCTCAGATCTATTGTTTGGTTGCATTACACTCCATTTGCACAGCTCCTGCTGGATCACAATACTAATTTTAGGCGAGCACTTGAAATTTCAAGAGCACTGTATGCGCTTTTTTGAATTATGCACTTAAATTTAGGAGATCTTTGTCCTGGATTTTTTTCTTATTGCTATCAAAGGTAAGATGGTGCTCGTCTAAATGACATGTAGTTATGTAGACAAAGAAAATATGTAGAGAGATTGGCTGCTGTAGCAGAATGTTTGTTAGCAATAGGGAAATATTAGAAATGATAAAAAAATTTATTTTGTGCATTGCTTATTATAGTGGGACTACTGTCTGTTTGGGGTCCTTTGGCTCTGTTCCAATAGAAGGAGTTACATAAAAACCAATTAAAATTTGTGTATTGAATTACTTAAAGTATTTTTGTTTCAAAGGAAAATAAATATGTCGTCTTACTTTCCAGTGACTGCCACCCACATACTTGGGACAAGTTGATCCTTGTTCATCATTGGCCAGTGACCGTTTGCAAGGTGAGGGTGGGGAGTGGGGTTCATAATTATACATGAAGTTGGGTATATAATGCAGTATATATCTGAAAATAAGAGGAACATGTTATTGTAGCAGAGTCAATGACCTGTTTAATTTTACTTGCCTTGTAGTACTCAATAAAGATATTGGTTAGTGTTGGTAGCTTGACACATGTCTCACTAGATCTAGAGCTTCATTAAAGAATGCTGCACATATAGTATTATGTCTGTAATAGGCAGTCCTGCCTCACAGTGTAAGATTCAGGCTGATACTGTTATTTAAATTTATGAGCAGTTACTTACATGAATGGTCTCTCTGAAGCCAATAGATCTAAATCATGGGTAGGCAACCCCTGGCACACGTACCAGAGCATGGCATGCACAGGCATACTGTTTGGTAGGTGTGCCACAAGGAGCTCAATCCTTTTTGTGGCCGTGCAGTCCCAGCCCCTTCCAAGAGGCTGCAAGCAGCTATACTGGGGTCTGCGGAACCCCAGCCTGGCTCGCTACTGGTGGCAGGTGTGTGCATGCCTCCAGTCAGACAGCAGGGAAGGGGCTGGAGCTGTGTTGCCACAACAAGGATCAGGCCTCAGCTTCTCCACCATCTGCCTCTGGCATGCCAACATCTTACAAGTTGAGCTTGCGGGTGTTTTTGGCACTCGGCCCAAAACAACTGCTGACCCCCTGATCTAAATAACTGTCTATCATTTTGATTCAGTTTTGCAAACCTGGCTCCAGAATGTTGATGCTGAGCCATTAAATATAGATTCAACTGAGAAGAAAAATCAGCAGCTAACACAGGGATATTTTGGTAGTAACCCTGGAGTACTGCCAGCCATCAGATCACTGATTTTTACAGATACATCTGGCAAGTAGTCAGCAAAGATGTACATTCCTTTGTCTCTCATATAGATGCATAACCCAATTCCTTTGAATTAAAATATTTTGGTGCGTCCAGATGAGCTGGAACGTTTGCTTTGTGGAGCCTCAAAGGCTTTTTAGGCACCGCAAAACGCATGCAGCATATGTGAAGTTTCTCTGTGCTGCATACTTTTAGCACAGAGCCAGAAATTAAATACCAGGAAATCCTGGTGTCTTAAAAAAAAAAGAAAAAAGAAAGGCTGGGTGATGCACATGGGTGCAGCATGCAGTACCTGAAACCAGAGCTTGGCTGGCGAGAGCCATCCTTTGGCTGATGGCCAGGCTCTGCACGCCTTGATTGCTGCCACTGCAGCCCCAGGAGGCCCCCAGGACCCTCACTAAGGCTTCTGGGGCCAGCTCAGGTGCTGGACCCAGCCTCCCCTACCCGACTCGAGGCCATTTGCCGTGGTCCAGTGTGTGTG